ATCTTTTTTACATCGTGGTGACCAAAACTGGATGCAGTATTCCAAGTGTGGCCTTACCAAGGCATTGTAAAGTGGTATTAACACTTCACGTGATCTTGATTCTATCCCTGTTAATGCAGCCTAGCACTGTGTTGGCCTTTTTGGCAGCTGCAGCACACTGCTGGCTCATATTTAGGTGATTGTCCACTAGGACTCCGAGATCCCTCTCACAGTTACTACTAATGATGAAAACATGTTTTGTTATTTGCAAGAATAAGCCTTGCAGACCGTGAAGGATGTATATGAGAGAGCAGATGCTGCAAGAAATAATATATTTGTACAGCAAAGTATAATCCAAATTAACAAAAGCAACAGTTTATACCAGGGGTAGTCAACCTTGGCTCTTTTATGACTCGTGGACTTCAAGCTGGCTCAGGAATTCTGGGAGTTGAAATCCACGAGTCATAAAAGAGCCAAGGTTGACTACCCCTGGTTTATACTAATGCTCTTTTCCCAACAGTCCTTAAGGGCTCAGGATTTAGTGCATATGAACTCCGCTATCTGATATATCCAGCTAAAAGGCAACAATGAGAAGTCATTACATTTTGTAAATGCAAAAAAGAGAAATCTGAAGTATGACTTCCCCTCAATATGCACTTCTCTATTCAGACATGAAGCAAGGAAAGCTTCCCCTGCAAATCTAAACAATTTTTTTAGGAAATAATTTCAGAATATTTACACACCAAATATCAAGGCATTTGTTTCTAATTGCACATTTAGCACTATGCTGTCAATCAGCATGTTCAACTATAATCTAATGTTTCAATATGGACAGGAGTAAAGCTGGCTGAATGACACTCATTTTTTAGAAGCTGAACCCCAAATTGTCAAGACTTCATTATTAATGCAATCTTTCCCAACGTAACAATTTCCAGATGTGTTGCACTTTCCCTTTAGCGATTATGGTTTTTGGCCACGCGGACAAGGCCAGTTCTACTCAACCAGACTAGCTTAGTGGCATTCAGCAATTATTGCCTATAAGTGGCATTCACTGTCTTTCTTTTCCTTTCTTCCTTTCTTTCATCTCTCCTTTCAGGGATGTAAGCAAGACTATAAGAAGGAAGACATGTTCCCTTTCCTTTTCACTGAAAGGGCCCCAGGGTCATTTAAGATCTCTAACTGGTAGCTGCAGTGTCCATTATGTCCTTTCTTATAAAAGAGAGTCCTTTATTTCAGAAAACGGCCCTTTAGATTTATTTAATTTTTTTATTTGCTTGGTTTTGCTTCTGGATTTTCCTGTATAAAACAAAGTCATAAACATAAACATTTTTTTTATCCTTGTGAACCTCTTTCAGATTTGTCCCTTTTTCAGGTTTGTCCTTTATTTTTTCCAAGAAAATACATTCACCGTTCTGATAATTAATATTTACAGGCCTACATCTTTTGAGGTATGTTACCAGCTCACAGACTCCCAAAAACAATAAACTGGCAACCAAGTGCCTGTTTAAAAGAGTATTTAGTTTATTCCAGACATGAAGCAGCAAAGAGAACCATGAATAGATATCAAGCTTAGGGGAAAAAGAAGAGCTTACAGAAAAAGGAATTACAATTTAAGAGCAAGCGCAAAGTAAAGGCCCGATAGATAAGCTCATCAAAAATGGAAACCAACCCTCAGTTTAAAGAAAGAGGCAAGATCGTGTGTGTATCTAAAATAAAATTAAAATCTCTAACATACTTTCTCTGATTACTTTTTGTTTCTTAAATTTTACTTCCTGAATCCTGGAAGGATCCACTTGATAAGGCAAAGCAGCTTAAATTCTCCCCTCCCTGTTAAGATGGTGCTCTCTCAGGACCAATCTAAGAACAGAAGCTCCAATAAAACCCTGGCTATTTAATCTCAAAGGACCAGTGATGGGGAAAGCTACCTTGGTTCAAAGATTTAGCTGCTTGGCTCTCTTGGGCTTTTTGACTTAGAAGCAAAAGGGATAATTTGTCATTTGTGTGTGCTGCGTTCCCAGGGATTTTTGGTAGTTTGCCTTGCTGTTAGAGCCCATTTTATCTAAAGCTACATTTCTCAACCTTAGCACCTTTTTAAGATGTGTGGATTTCAATTCTCAGAATTGCTGACTTCGGAGAATTCTGGTTCTAAAATGCTACCAGCGAAGAACATTTTAAAGCAGTGGTTCTCAACCTTTTTAATGCCGCGACCCCAACTGGTCGTAAGTCGAGGACTAAACCGGTTGTAAGTTGAGGACTAAACCGGTCATAAGTCGAGGACTAAACCGGTCGTAAGTCGAGGACTTTCCCTGCCCGGGAGCGCCGCGCATGCGTGGTTCCGCCCCCTGCGCTGGCCGAGGCGTAGCTGGCAAGCGGCAGAGACTGAGCAGGCCGACCACCAGCTGGCCCAGCTCAAGGGAGGTAAGGCACCCGCCAGAAAAGGGGAAAAAATGGCGGACAGCCTTGTTTGGCGACCCCCGTGAAATGGTCAATCGACCCCAAATGGGGTCGAAACTCATAGGTTGAGAACCGCTGTTTTAAAGCTTTTTGAAACCACATTGTTGAAAAAACAACTTTTTAAAATGTACCTGCTCAAAATGTCTGACAAAATGTCCAGGGCCTCCAGTTGTACCGACACATCTTCTTGCTTTCCAATAGCTCCAGTCAACTGAGCTGTGATTTTTTTGCAAACATTGGCGGTCACAGTAGAACCTGTGAAGGTGGGGATTTGAAGAGAAAAAGAGTGATTGACGGTTTTAACAAAACTGTTCCTATTTTGCAATGCTTTTATGTAAGATCAAGCAAATTTAACTAGCAAGGGTTCAAGTCGTAAACTGTTCACAGGCAGTGGGGAGCATCGTGTTATATACGTCTTCTGCAAAATGACACTCTCCAGGTGGGCTAGGGTTACATTCCCAAATTCCTCAGTAAATATAGTCAAGAACTATGCTATTTAAGAACTGTGGAAGTTCAATTCTAAAGTACGTAGGGGTCGGATTGAAGAAGGCAGCATAACATGCAATTATTATAATTTTATTCTTTCCAATTACAGAGAAACATTTGCACAAGATTTCAGTGATCCAAACATTACTATTAGTGTATATTGCATAGATCATACTGCAGGGCCACCAACGTGTTAGGGCTGATGAGCATATTTGGAGTTTTGAATACATTCTGCCAGTATTCTCAAAAAATATCTGCTTATATCCCAGTGGTATCTGCTTTGAGAATTCTTACCCACAAAACAGATACCACTGGGACATGACCAGTTACAAAATATAGATGGATGAAATGTTACTAGTATTAATACCACTTTACAATGCCTTAGTAAGGCCACACTTGTAATACTGCATCCAGTTTTGGTCACCGCGATGTAAAAAAGATGCTGAGACTCTAGAAACAGTACAGAGAAGAGCAACAAAGATGATTAGGGGACTGGAGGCTAAAACATATAAGGAACAATTGCTGGAATTGGGTATGTCTAGTTTAATGAAGAGAAGGACGAGGGGGGACATGATGGCAGTGTTCCAATATCTCAGGGGCTGCCACAAAGAAGAGGGAGTCAAGCTATTCTCCAAGGCGCCTGAAGGCAGGACGAGAAGCAATGGATGGAAACTGATCAAGGAGAGAAGCAACCTAGAACTAAGGAGAAACTTCCTGACAGTTAGAACAATTAACCAATGGAACAACCTGCCTCCAGAAGCGGTGAATGCTCCAACACTGGAAGTTTTTAAGAAGAGACTGGACAGCCATTTGTCTGAAATGGTGTAGGGTTCCTGCCTGAGCAGGGGGTTGGACTAGATGACCTCCAAGGTCCCTTCCAACTTTATTATTTTTTATTATTATTATTATTATTATTATTATTATTATTATTATTATTATTATTATTATTATTATTATTATTATTACTACTACTACTACTACTACTACTACTATTATTATTATTATTATTATTATTATTATTATTATTATTATTATTATTATTATTACTACTACTACTACTACTACTACTATGCTACCTATTACTGCTTCATGCTTCAAACAATTCCACTTCCCACCAAGGAAGCTTCTTTCTATTCCAGCTCCCTCTGCTCAGGACAGGTGGACATAGTTCTAAACAGCCCTGAACTGTGATCCATCTGAATCACAAGGAATTATTTGGAACTGATGCTGCTATCAGAGGCCAAGGCATATCTTTGCAGCAAGTCAGCTTCCTGTTGTCTGAACACATAGAAAGCAAGGTGCAATGATAAGGTGTCTGTAGGCACAATGGCACTCAGGGTGCCATATTGGGGACCCACGTTCTGATCCTTCTTCTTCTCTGAAACCATAACCCTATCTAAACTTTCTGCCATTGTGTCCCTTTTATGAGTTATGCAGTATTTAAAATGAAGATTTCTTAGATTTCAACTTGATAACGTGGTGTTTTTAGGAAACATCCATCTCGCTATCATGGAAACAGTAAAGAACTACCTACGTACTTAGGTTTGGGGTTTTTTTTGAGATCACCCAAGGTTAGCTAGGACCTATTACCTGCTGTGACATTATATTAATTATAAACATTATTTTAATTGGCCTAATAAAGTAATACAGCCAGCAAATTTTGAAAACTGTCACCTTATCTCCAACCTTTCAGTTCTGGGAAAAATGGTAGGACAAGAATTAAAAAAAAACCTGGAAAAATAGATAGTGACTTTCCTAATACTGTTCATGTCAAATTTAAGCAACAATAAAAATAAAATATCCTCAAAAAATACTAGTAAAGTAAAGAAAAACTTCTGATGTGATGACCTAATTTGATGAATTTGGTAGAATTTGGTTCCATTATTCACCAAGTGAAAAGCTAACTCAGCATGAAGTACATTTGTGGAAGAACTACCTAAAAATAACTAAGTGAAGGAGGCATTGAAACAAACATGTTTGCTTGTTTGCTTAGAACAGGGGTAGGCAACCTTGGCTCTTTTATGACTCATGGCTGGCTCAGGAATTCTGGGAGTTGAAGTTCATGAGTGCTGGCTCGGGAATTCTGGGAGTTGAAGTTCACGAGTCATAAAAGAGGCAAGGTTGCCTACCCCTGGCTTAGAAAGTATATGGTTTTCCAGAATGCTCCCATCACTGCTGTAGTAAAACCACTTCTGTGTCTATGATGAGAAAGGGGAGGCCTTCTGTCAGGGATGTACATGTGGCATTCCTTCACTCACAATGCCAAACAACAGATTATTCATATTGTCAAGGCCACGGCTAGCATGTCTATATTGACAGGGCATTGTACTGACGAAAGAGACTTTCACCCAGACAATGAGCATCTCATTAAATCTACACCTGCATCTGCTTAGATAAATCACTAGAACATTACTTGCATCTTTAATCAATCATTCTGTTCAGAACAAGGTCATTACTTATTTGCGAAATGTGAAATTTCATTTACGCGGCTTCTAATGAGATTCAGTGTCATTCTTACCATGACACTCAACTCGTTTGTCATGCCCTTTAACTTGTTTTATTATTGATTTTTAAAATAAAAAAAAAGTCTATAGTTTAGATATGGGCGTTTTTCTCTTTAATAATCAACAGCATTTAGAAAATAAATCCCACAAAACAAGCTCCACCCAGCATAGCTTCCCAATCACATGTGGAGGCTGGCATGCTGATTCATTCCCTCGTACACAGACTGACTGCAAAGGAAGAGTCAGCCTCATTGTCTGAACATAGGGTTAAGGTTTTTACCTGTAGATGGGGGAGGCAGCTCAGAAATGACGGTCTTCAACCCAATGCTAGAAATATCCCGAAGCTGTTCCTTATCCGACAGCATGTTTGTACACAATGTATCAACAATAGTCTCCACCTGATATTCTTTCACTTTGCTCACCAAAGGACCCAAACTGAGGAGAAAGAAAGAAAACCACATAGAAAGGCCTTCCTCAGAGAAAGTAGGAGCTGTAACGAAATACAAACCTGCCCCTTCCTGTCTTGCACAGATGTCTCTCAGCCAACAGATACCTTTCACAATACGAGTAATGATCAAGGGACAGGAGTACAGATCCTTGTCCTTATCCTTTGCAATGGAAGCCCACAATCCTGGAATGGTTTTATCATCAAAGCGGATCTATTGAAAATATACCCTTCTCTCTTGGCGCTTTAAGCGGGTCTCTGCTGCCTTTTGAGTCAAGATGAAAGATACCCTGCCATGCCAATCATGCAGAACAGTATTTCTCCAATAACCTGGCTTCTTTCTTCCCCGATATGAGTCTGTTGGCTAATCAGCAGCAAAGTCAAAGAACAGAAACTAACCCTGCGTAATATGAAATTGAAGTTCTTATGTAAGGAGATAGAAGACACCATTTTTAGAAGTCCTTTCCAAACAACTTCGTATCTTAGCCTTTCTCAGATCCTAATGCTGGGCCCCCAATCTTTATCCAACAGCTTAGATCAGGGGTAGGCAACCTTGGCTCTTTTATGACTCGTGGACTTCAACTCCCAGAATTCCTGAGCCAGCCATGCTGGTTCAGGAATTCTGGGAGTTGAAGTCCACGAGTCATAAAAGAGCCAAGGTTGCCTACCCCTGGCTTAGATCAACATTTTACTAACGACCTTTCCCCATTATTCAGTTTTAAGGGTTAAGCACCCACATTCAATGTTTCTGCATCTAGCATTGAGTTTTGCTTTGCTCCTAAATGGTGGGCCATCTGGATTTTTCATGTGCAAGTTTGTGCTATACCAAGTGACTGATCAGTCACTCTGGCTTTGCCTTCCTCCCCTTTCCAAATGCCACCTAACTGCAGCAAACCATTTGCCAATTGTGAAAGTGACACAAGGATGGGGAGCGAAAGGCACTGGGAAGACGGTAGGTTTTGCCCAGTGGCTCAACTCATCTTTCCTCATTCCAATGTGCAGCAAAGCAGAAGAGAGCAGGTCTTCGCCTCAATTCTGCAAGTCTGTTGAATTCTGCAAGTCTATCGTTCTTAGGGAGGTGCCAAGATTGAAACAAGCTAGGAAAGCATAGGCTTTGTACTCTTTCAAAATTACACCCATGTGTTAAGTCAACCAAACACTGAACAAACTAGTAGAGCTACAGTAAGATATGTCTGCTGGATCCACTGCTTTTTCCAAAATAATTGTTCCTCACAAAGCTTGGATTCCAAACCCTTGATCATCTTCGTAGTCCTCCTCTGGACTTACTCCAAGTAAATTATTATTACAGCCACCCCCACTGCAGTAAGCTATGGATGGCTTACAAATACAAAAACAATAAAAACATACACCACCACAGATAACTTAGACCAGGAGTAGGCAACCTTGGCTCTTTTATGACTCGTGGACTTCAACTCCCAGAATTCCTGAGCCAGCCCTGGAATTCTGGGCATTGAAGTCCACGAGTCATAAAAGAACCAAGGTTGCCTACCCCTGGCTTAGATTAAAACAATGATGGCAAACCTTTTAGAGACCGAGTGCCCAAACTGTAACCCAAAATCCACTTATGCATTGTCGGGTACCGGGTGGGTGTGGCCCATTGGGTGGGCGTGGCTGCGGTGGTAAAAGCAGACTGGGTGAGACAAAAAAGTTCAATCAATCAATTCCAACTTTGTAAGATTTTTTTTTCCCGCGAGAAGTTGAAATTGACTGATTGATTGAACCTTTTTTTTTGCACATGGCGGCGGAGGCCTAAAGCGAAAAAGTTTTATAAAACCCAGCTGAAGGTCTAGGACTGGGGCGACGGTGTGCGTGCCAACAGAGAGGGCTCTGAGTGCCGCCTCTGGCACCCGTGCCATAGGTTCACCACCACTGGACTAAAACAATTGTAACGATAATAAATTAGACCAGAGGCCTCACAAATACATTCACTACAGGCCTGGAACTAAAGCCTGATCTGAAGGCCTTTCAGAGAAAGGGTGTTGTCTGTATCTCTGAGGGGACGTTATTTCAAAGAGTAGGGGCCAGGGTAGAGATTTGTCACTATCTTTTTTTGAACTGCCCAGAACTTGACAGAGTATGTCAATTGGGGTCCAACTAGAGCAATGTAGTGTTTTCTTATAGCTAATGTAAAAAAAAAATCTTACCATTTGACAGCCAGGTTTTGCACTTCTCCATTTTTATCCTCAAGCAACTTCAGGAGCATTTTCACAACTTTTTTCTCACTATCTTCATCCAGCTTTATGGAATCTTTCTGTAGTTCCATCATCAAATCATTGGTAGCCATAAATCTGGAAGAAAGAATATCAGTAATAGGTTTCCCAATGGGGAGCAATAAATCCATGTTCCATGATAAAAAGAAAGATCAACATCTATTGATCTATTGATCCAAAAGGCAAGTAAAATGAATTCTTCACTAGGAATAATGAATAAATAATTTGGCAGTTAAATGTGGAATAAGAACCTTCTTAATTAAAAGTAATACAATACAGAAATATTAAAATATCCAAAGAGTAACTCAATTTTTGCTTACTCCAGGACCTGCTTGTTTTTGTGAAAGGCTCTGCAAATCATCTGATTTGAAACTGAAGAATATATATATTTAACTCTCGGCAATACTTCGCCTGGAATTGTTAACAAGTACTTTATGCTTTATATGCTTTATATATCCAGGGTCTGGATGGGGAGAAACAGACTCAGGCTCAACCCTTCCAAGACCAAGTGGCTGTGGCTACCGGCGCCTCGGCATAGTCAGCTGATCCCATCGCTGACCATAGGGGGCGAAACTTTGGCTCCCTCGGAAAGGGTACGCAATCTGGGTGTCCTCCTGGACCCACGGCTGACACTGGAAGACCAGTTGGCAGCCGTGACCAGGGGGGCGTTTTATCAGGTTCACCTGATCCACCAGTTGCGACCTTTTCTGGACCGGGACGCCTTGCGCACAGTCACCCATGCCCTTGTCACCTCCCGCCTGGACTACTGCAATGCTCTCTACATGGGGCTCCCCTTGAGGAGCACTCGGAGGCTCCAGCTAGTCCAAAATGCGGCCATGCGGGCGGTGTTGGGAGGGACTCGTCGCTCCCATATAACACCGCTGCTGCGCGAGCTGCACTGGCTGCCGGTGGCTTTCT